TATCTAATTGAAACCTAGAGCAAAACTGTAAAGAGACATATCTGGCATTTGAAAAATGTAGAAGACATGAATTTTATGTAAGAACAAAAAAACATTGAATACTTTAGAAACACTATTGTTTTCAAATGGCTTCTTGCCAAAAACTTTTTATCATGTCCCTAAGGAAGCAGATAATTGAAAAACAAACAAAAAATAAAAAATAAAAAAACTGGGAGTGAGGACAAGGGTTATATAGAAATTTTATTTCAGGAAAAACAAATGTGGCTGAACCCCTGAATTTTTAAGATGTTTACAATGTAAATCATGTTGTATTTCATAATGTACTTTGTTAAATTACCACCTTCATCAATATTCCCCAAGTCATGAGCAACAGTTATTTTACTTAGGTTAAGACAGTGGAGTAATTTTAATAAAGTGCACAGAACAATGACACCCTCAAAGCCTTATAGGCAGGACTTGTGCATCCTGCTACGAGTACCTCTGCACTAACACACCAGATCTTAATATGGATATAAGGTATTAGATGATGAGGGACTAGCATCTTAATTCTGCTAGCTGATTGTGTCTCTCGTGAAAAGAACCCAGCTACCAAATTGCCTTTTTTCTACACCATAAATCCTAATTAGAAACTTGAGATTTTGTAGAAATCATGTTTAATGATAATAATGACATATGAATTAATGTGAATATCTAAGCTTTAAATTATAATTAACTCTTCCCTCTCAGATTAACATTTGTAAGTTTCTAGAACAATTATGAAAAGGAATGGAAATTCATCAGCTAGCACTTTCTTTGGTTGCTCTTTGCATCCAATTAAAGTGTATTTTATGAGTAATTTTATGAGTAATCTTAAAAGACTATCTTAATTATAGTGCCCTACTAGGGTAAATTATTTGCCTGTTTTCACAGTTCTGAACTTGGAATGAAGCAAAGCATATGTAACTAATCCACACATTTTTTATTGCTTTCTACATGCTAAAATGGATAGAAATTGATGAATGTGGAAGCAATATGTGAATCACAATGTAGCAGAGGCAGACCAGGCATTACATTACTATTTACAGTTGTGCTTCTAGAGCTGGACTGCACCAATTACTTATCCTTGTGCCAAAGGCAAATATTATGTTTGCACCTTTTTTTCTGATTCTCAGGTTGATTAATACTGCTAATGCATATGTGCAAGTAGATATTCTTTTAAACTACAAAATTCATGAGCTACAGTAGGTTTGTATCAAGATTTTTTTTAAAAAAGGAAATCTGTTGGATAATGTGTTCACAATATGTTCTTTGACTATTTAGTCTTCCATCTCTTGGTCCTCATTAGCTCATCTTTTAGAAGGGTAGTAAACTAATATGGTCTCCTTAAGATGTAAACATAAAATACGTAGTTTTATTTTGCTCATTGAATAATGTAAATGATTCAGACAGTGATGAGACCCTTTGGCTTATAATGTTGGACAGATTTCCAAGGAAACAATTCTGCCCTGGCTGAAAATATTTACATTCTTGTATTATAGTATAGTTTGGTGACTTTCCTCTTGTGAGATGGTAGGTAGGAGGAAAAAATTAGGATTCGATTGGGGAATCCAATGGAATAAAAATGGGAAAATTCCTTTGTGTTGAAGTAAGAGGCATTTTTCCAAGGAGCAGAGATTCATACTTTCCATTTTCATTGATCATCTTCCCCACCATAATCAACTGATGCCCAGGTTAATTCCCTAATAAGAATTAAATTCCCAAGGCACATGGTAGCATTTAACATAGTACCTGGCACACAGCACTCAGTAAAAGTTTGGTTCTGTTATGGGGTGGTCAAGTTCTGATTTAAGGAAGTTAAAAGAAAAGTATAATCCTATTACTATTTGGTATGCCTTGTGCTTCTAAGGATGCAAAGTAGTTACAACTCTAAACCTGCTATACTTGAACATCACACTAAGGGAAGTAACACAAGAAGCTAGCAAAATTCTGAGGCCAAAGTTGTTTCCTAACAGCTTTAACAGTGCTTGTTGATTCTGAATCATCTTTTTAAAAGTGGACCATCTGCCTAACTATTTTAATATCACTTCAATAAAATGTTAGTATTAAAAAGATCAGTTTTATGACATTGAAGAATGTATCTGCTAAAACAGAAAAACTGGTATATATATATAAATATGTATATTTATACATAAATATACATATATATTTATATATAAAATAGATGAAGGAAGGGAAGTTGCAGGCTAAATGAAATGTAACTGATTAGAATATTTATTCAGAAGTGGTAACACTCATTTGCCATCCTTGGTAACACTCATTTGCCATCCTTGGGTATGTGTATTTGGGCATAGTTATAACATCTAGATTTGCAGATACATGAACCTTTCAGTCCTACCCTGTTTACTGTGTAACAGTGATAGGCTATTTTCTTTTTGCTGGTGGAACATACTAAGTTGGAATCCACTCTTCTTCATTGGTGTTCATCAGAACAGTTTCTTACTACTCAGCTCTTCTGCTGAGTTTAAGTTCTGGTACTTCACATAAGCACTGTCAGAAGGTACAAGTGTATTTAATCACTAGTTCTGAGGAGTTTGGGTACATTTGTTTATATATAGAATGTGCAGTGAATTTCATTTTTTTCTTTTTAGCAAAACTACTCTTATCATTTTAGGTCCAATAATTGAATAGACAGTCTACTGTGAGGATGAGATGACATATCTACTGTGAGAATAACAATAATTATTTGAGAACTTTTATTCTCAGTGGTGTTTTATATATTGAGATATAATTATATACACATGCATGAACATCACATCTCTCTACTGTGGAGTTAATGTGAATTTTTAAAAAATGGAATTGCAACCACAATCATAGCTAAAAGAACATTCACTCCTAGTGAAGGTTTACAAAAGCCACTAAAAGAATAAAATAAGTAAAAATGCAAAGGGTCACTTGGGGTTTTGTTTTATTTTAAAATTTATAGTGCTACTTTTGAAAGAGAATTGTTTTTATTACTATGCTCTTTTGTGATCAAGAAGTCATCTAATAGCAGTATAGAAGCTACTTTTTTTAATTGCTGGCAAACAGCTTTAAGTGCACTTTCTTTGATTACACTTCCATTTTTTGTTAAACTTGAATTTTCTGAAGCCTTTTATGTACCACTAAGCAAATAACTTTAACCTTTAAAAAAACGGATTACATCATTATTGTATTTCTAATAGTTGTAAAACATACTTGCTAAAATAACTTCAGTCCTCAAATGTAGCTGGGAAACTTGTGAGACAGGATTGGTTATCCCCCCTCCCATATCTAATTAAGCACTAACTAACTTTATTGCCTTTATATTGCTTATTCTTGTATTCTGTCCCTGATACACTTTGTTTTGTTTGAAATTTGAAGTTATTTTCTTACTGTATTTATCATACCTCTTTTAATAATCTTCTTTCTTTAAATGCAATAAATTAAAAATGGATTACCTATTCTTTATAATCAGTGACTTTGGAATTTTTCATTATTGTCTTATTAAAATATTGGATATAAACTTCTATTGAGTTATTTCACTTACACCATGGACCTTTAAACATCTATTGTGTACCAGCAAAATAATATAAAAATAAGACGGTTCTTAAGGAGCCTTTAGGATTTAAGTAAGAAAATACATTTGACCTAAATTTTTTACAATAAAAAGAATATAGCACCATTATTTTAATCACTTACTGACACTTATACTGATGATGGTACGGCAGAAACATGAGACCTTAAAAATACCTTTAGGATAACTTGTTTGGCATAGTTTTTACATTATTTCTACTTTTAAAAAAACTATTAAAAGCCTGCTAACATATATAATTGTTAAAAGTCTTTTGAATATTTTGATCTTTGACTATGTCAGAAAAGCAGTTTTGGAACATTAATGAGGAAAACATGGGGTTGGTGAACTAAAGCTTGGTGTCAAGGTTGTGGTATTATAATGTAATATCCCCCAAACTGGAGTCTAGATTGGTGGCTTATGACAAGTTTCTCAACCAAAAACAAGATTCATCTTACTTTGTACTTTTTTTTTTAAGTAGTAATATTCATTTCAAGTTATGTGGGGAAAAAAGGGGCTTTTGTATCTTCTTAATAATGCAAAACACCATAGTATCACAAATGAAGAGAAAGTTATATTAAAAAGTTTGTATGTATCACTGTTCAAATTGTTATAGTTAACCCCTTATGGTGCAAATTGAACTGTTTGGTTTGAATAATTCCTTTTTCAGGAAGCCAAGCTTAAGCTTCATATGTAGTTAATATTCTCATATTAAAAGTTTGAACTCTTGAAATTGTATTTGTTACATGTTAAAAACATGGCTGGCACAACTGAGAGCACATGCATGCTAGGTAGTGTTTAATACTACATTTGTAGAGCAAGATGAAGGCTTTTGTGGCTGTTCGTTTCAGGCAAGTGAGTATACAGAGGTTCACTTTTCATAAGTGGACCATACTATTTCTATCTCCCTTCAAAAAGTGTTCTTTTAAGGTAGTTTCAATTCTTTTTTTTTTTTTTTTTTAAAGAGAGAGTGAGAGAGAGGGAGAGAATTTTTAATATTTATTTTTTAGTTCTCGGTGGACACAACATCTTTGTTTGTATGTGGTGCTGGGGATCGAACCCAGGCTGCACGCATGCCAGGCGAGCGCGCTACTGCTTGAGCCACATCCCCAGCCCCGTAGTTTCAATTCTTGATCATTATCTTACTACTGTACAGAAGAATGGTATCAAATTTCAGGGGTGCTCAGTACTCAACATCTATACCTCTCTTCAGTATAAACATGATTATTGTGACAATGCAGATAAAAGATACTTCTGCCTCTCTTCTAATAGCTGAGCTGATTCTTTACACACTTCTTTGGCAGGAATGGAATTAATTAAGAATGATGATTTGGGGTGGATATGGACCTACTCAGCAACTGGCAGGAATGTAGAAATGCAAGCTTTGCCCCTTGATGGTTAGTACAGGGCAAAGTATATCTCTAGTAGGTACCTGCCAAATGGAGAGCTGTACAGCTTTATGCCAGTCAATCACAATCTTCAAATCGTACACTCTGTCCAGGTGGGATGCCATGTGATGTGACAAGCTATTCCCTGATTCTTCATTCCTGATTTTAAAATATGATTTTTAAAGCTGTTATGTATTAAAAAGAATGACAAGCAGCACTTAATATATTTAGTAAACCCAGTTTATTTACATAATACATATTTTACCATGCAGCTTACGGAATTGCACTCAGAGTAATAAACAAAAATAAACCGGCACTATCTTGCTATTTGAAAATGGCTTTATAGAGAAAGATAACTTTCTTAAATGAGTTAACTAAACTATAAAAATTGCTATGGTAACTTAAAAAAAAGCTAAAAATAATTTTAAAATATACTTATAAAGTCTAGATAAAGAGCTTTTATAATTTACACATAGGTAAAAATTAAAAGTAGTCTTTTTTAGTATTGTAGCTGGAAATTATACTTTTAATTAACTAATAACAAAAAATAACATATATACAGTATTACAAGGCTCAGATTTCTAGGCAACTTTTAAATATTCTTTAATGTTAACAGTGTCTTAAAACATTTTACCAGTAGTACTGTGCACATGGTAGGTGGTCAGTAAATGCTGACATACATAAGTATTTATAGTTGATAGCAACCCACATTCATGTGAATATTCCTTTACAATAAATACATCATAGTAAAGATAAAAATCAGAGGATAGCTTTCTCACAATATTTAACATTTTCAGAAAACACTTAAGTATTAATAAGGAATCATTCTTCCTATAGACCTGTATGCCCTTTAAATTCAAAGAAATAATCATTTAAAAACAAAATATGCTCTTTTTTAATGTATTAATTTGGGTGGCAAGTATTACATAATTCATACACTATGTAAGATGGGAATTTTTTTAAAAATTAAAAGGCTATTTTTTAGAATATTTTATTGGAAAAAAATGATTCCACACCTAAAATAACTGGACTTTCCCCTCATTTTTAACTTGATGATAACTACTTAGGGTACTTCATTTGGATGAAATGTCAATTTAGAAGCAGTAGTATTATGTAAGCCAATAAAGGATGTTTTAGGGGAAATATGTCCTATTTGCACCAAAATCTCCTATTACTTAGTATATAAATCACACTGTGGTCTATGAGATACTATAGCCATTTTCAAAATAGCATTCCACCATAATAATGAGTATGATATAGCATGCCCTTACTGGGCCCACTAGAAGAAAATTCTCCTTGCTGAGATACCAACATAGAAAATGTATATTCCAAACTCACTACACTGGAAAGGAACAACATTTTACAGATGGATAAACTGAGGCACATTAAAGTAACTTTTCTAATACTGAATGTACAAAAGGCATATTGGGAATAAGATTCAACATCAATGAACATTTTTTTAGATATCCAGTCAGTTCTATCTTGAAAACATACCAATATTTAAAACAGTTTGTCAACCCATTAAGAAATGTTGGTAATAATTTATAGTCTAACAACAATTTTTATGAATGTCTGCTTTAAGAGATTTAATTTATGCATATGAAATGATCAATGAACGAACGGCAACAACTGTATTAGTAAAACTATTTTTTTAAGTATAAACAATGACAAATTTAATGCTTCAAGTCCAAACTGTATTCATTTTTAATTTTTTTGGTATTGGGGATTGAACCCAGGGGCACTCTACCAGTGAGCTATATCTATATCCCCTGTTCTTTTTATTTTTTATTTTGATACAGGGTCTCACTAAGGTGCTTAGGACCTTGCTAAATTGCTTAGGTTGGTCTCAAACTTGTGATCCACCTGTGTCAGCCTCTCTCGAGTTGTTGGGATTACAGACATGCATTGCTGCATCCAGTTTCAAGTCCAAATTTTAGATGGTGAATATAAACATTTTATCAATGCAATGTTAACTTACACATAAGCTGAAGACTAAAGCACAGTCCTCATCAAGTGGGGCATCAGCATGACTTTATTCTAAGGCTTAAGGTTCAGTTCCGGGTCAAATCAGGGCCATGTAAATCTTATGGCCTTGAAAGTAGCACCCATATAGCTAGGAGTCCTCATCATCAAATTTCTTTTAGAATTTTGGGATCAAAATCTTCTATAATCCACTCGCAAGAATTCAATTATGATATGGAATTAAATAAACTCTGGAATTAAAAGGCTTGAGTAATGATTTGATTATTAGATCATGGCATTTGTTGCTTAATCACGTCCTTAGTTTCTAATGTGATTCTTCTCTGATAAAAAGTAACATTGCATGTTCATTTCCTCTTTTTAATACCTCCCCTAAAGAAGAACTCTTGTTCTGACGAATTGAAAATTCCTAATGTTTCAGAACCTGTGGCTAAAGGAAATAATATTTTAAGTGCCAGATTTTCACAAACCATGTATTTAAAGGCTATGATTACTCAAAATCACTATCTTAGCTTGTATTAAACATAGGCTGTAACAAACCTCACCTTGATTAGGCACTTAAATTTGATGATTTAACGAAAATATCTTCTATTAAAGTAATCACGCAGGATGACTCCATTTCAAATGGAGATGAGCCCTTCCTAAGGAAATTAAGCTGGTGTCAAGTAAACTGAATCCTATTTCTACAATAGTTTCACATTCATTCTTACCATTCAGATTATTTGTTATGATCACCAACTAATTCTCATTTTCTATATAAGCAGCAAATTAGTAGTTTTAAGGGTCTACAAAGCAGTTATTACTACAGATCCCTAGGTATATTTTTCCATTTTTATAAAGCATTACCCATGATACCTTAAACAAGAAGAAAAAGAAAAAGATGAAAGGGAACCTTAGAAATAGTGGGGTATACAAGTCCCCATTTTATATTGCTTAACAACTGAATTCACCAGGTGGCCATACCTGAATTCTTCACAAATGTGAAACATAGTCAGGACAAGGCTTGCTATGTCTGTACTGCATGACATATACTGTTGACTGATGCCACCAATATAACATCACTACTGCAAGGATATGCCATATTTGGTGGCTAGATCCGAGGTAGTTTAGTTGTCCTAGAAGGAATGTAGAAATAAATTAATACTGATTGTACTATTTTGATATTAAAAGAAAATAAGTTTCTGGGGCTGGGTTGTGGCTCAGTGGTAGAGTGCTTGCCTAGCATGTGTGAGGCACTGGGTTTGATTCTCAGTACCACATAAAAATAAATAACTGACAACTAAAAAAATATTTAAAAAAAAAGAATTTTCTAATCTTCAGGCTTGGAAATATGGCTTAGCAGCAGAACATTTTTGTTAGCCTCAGTGCCTGGAGATCCAAGTTTTTTTTTTTTTTTTTTTTAAGGATGAACACATATTTGGGTCTAATTTTAAGGTTTTATCAAGAACACAAGTAATTTTTAGAAATGATATTCACAATGTATTTTTAAAAATCTAACTTGTCATTTTCAGGAATTTGATCTTTTGCCTCCCATGTCTCAATTCCTATCTGGTGTAATGGGTGAAAAAAAAAAAAAAACTGAAGAAATGAGGGTTACAAATCAGGGAGTAATTTAGGTATGAATCTGTGAGTAGGAAATACACTGTTGTGTTTAGATATGAACCTACTAGGAAATGCACTGTGTGTTTAGATATGAACCTGCTAGAAGCACTTCTTTATTTTATGCATGTATGCAAGGAGAAACCTCAGTCCCGAATCTTAATACTCTAATGGAATAATGTGCAAAATTCTGTGGTAGTAATGGGTTAATTAACTAAGGTTGATTAGTTCACACACAATTTCAGAAAACAATTTCTCTTTATGGCTAAATATTAAATTCCATGGAGATTAATAATTAAAATGTGGAAAGCTTCTTGATCTTTCCTGGTGTAAAACAGAAGAACAGCTATAAAAACAAGTGTAAACTTTCTCTTAGTGAGTCTACGGTCCTGTAATGTAACTATTCTCCAACCTCTTCTTAGTTTTGTCTTACCAAGAACAATAATTAGTGCAGAACATTAATATTAAAGTGTAAGTCAACAGGATTCTTTCTATATAGGTTCTTGGCTTTTTTTTTCTTTTCTTTTTTTGGGGGGTGGGGTGGGGCATGGACTTCTTGACTCCTAAAGAAGCTTACAGATTCAGTTTTAAAAACCAAATTCAGCCCAAGCAACTTAGTGAGAACCTGACTCAAAATAAAAAATAAAAATGGCTGGGGATGTGACTCAGTGGTAAAGTACCCCTGGGTTCAATCCCCAGTACCAAACAAACAAACAAACAAACAAACAAACAAACAAACAAAAAGCAAATACAGGGAATTTGAAAAGAAAACTGGTTATCTTGTAATAGTAAACAGTAGTACAAGGGATCTATTCAATTCCATTCATGATACCTTGGACATCCATCAAATACCACTTGGGTCCATCAAATACCACTGTGGTGTTTATGTATTTAAAAAATTTAATGTGAGCTGAATTTAAATTTTTAGGCTTAATTTTTTTTAATATCCCATTATTCACCAGCTACACTTCCTCACAGTTCTCTCATACCTGAAAGAAGGTACTTATCCCTGAGACTATCACTTTCACCTGTAAAGCCTGTAGTGTTTATAATCTCCATATCTCTACTGCTTTCACGTACCTGCACTAAACCACACATTCAACTTCAAGGGGCACATTTTATATCAAGCTCATCTTGGATAAAGTTAAGTTACAGAACATTTGATCTTTTGTAGGTTTTCTATATTAGACAATTCTAAAACCTGGACATTGATATTTTAAGGTCTAAAAACACTATAGCCACGATCACATACTGTAAAAAAAAATTATGGCTCGATCTTCTACTTGTCTGTGATCAGGAACAGAATTTTTAAAAGAATCATTAACAAAGTTATTAAAAAAATATATTTTACCAGAATCTGTTTTCTGAGAAAAATTCTGGCCCTGCCTGGAAGATAGTTGATCTTCAGTTCAGGAGCATATCCTAGTAATGTTCCCACAGCCTGATGTGTACACACTCAGGCTCTTAGTATTCCCATTCCTATTCAAACCTCAGGGTGAAAAATCAAGTACAGAGGAATGCCTGAGAATCTGTGGTGGATTCATTCTCTATTCCAGGGTTTTTCATATTTTCTCCTTCCCGTCTTTAACTCACTGTGGAAGAGATTCCTAACCTAGGAAGAAGGAGCATTGAGTTTGCAGTTTGGATTTAAACAAATCCTTGTTTTCTGTCTTCCAAATTAAAAAAGAAAAATAAAACACTGTTTTATGTACTACATAAAAGTTGTTCTTGAGTCAAGCTAAGGCTTACTTGGATTTGCATCATTTTGCCTTTCATTAAACTACATATCTCACTTCGAAGACCAAGTTGAGTGATATTATTATACTAATTGCTAGCATTTATTGAGGGCTTACGACATTTTAGGAACTGTGCTGTTTTATGTTCATTTTTCTCATCTAATCCTGACAAGAACCCCAAATAAGTATTATCCCTGTGTTTCATATAAGGAAACTAGAGCTGAAAAAGTTTAAGTTATTTAGCTCATGCAGCTGATATAGTATTTCCAGGCAATCTGACTCCAGAGATAGAGTGTCAAAACAAATACATATTTTGGAGAATAATCACTCCACCTAGTGTCCTCTCTGTTATTTTCCATCAGAAATACTTTTCTTTGGACTGAAGAATGTAGAAAACTATCCTTTTCTTAAGTGACTGGCTTATAACTATCTTGGGGACAAACAGACTCATCAATTTTATTATTATTCTTAGCTCTGGGTAACAGGAAGCAGAAAGTAAAATCACAGATAAGGGGGGACTATTGTTTTATGATCCTCACCACTTATTGGATTCAACTCATACTCTGAGAAAGAGCATTACATAACATTAAGGAATAGAAGACTTACTCTATAATCAAAAATGCTGAAAAATAAATCTAAGTTTTGATTCTGTGAAGCATTTACTTAAAGCTTATACTTAAGAATAAAGCTGCAAAACCTCTGTGAAAGAACACCCACCTGGAAAGTACCGCTCTGGAACTTTGGAGATGTAGAATAGGAAAGCAAGAAGAGCAATCACATACATCACAATTACGCGGGGTGCAAAATCCTGAAAAGTAAAACATGTTGTTGTTTTTTTTTTCACAGATCTATTTTACTGAAGTCTCAATTTATTATGAATATGATGGTAGAATTTAAGACTGTTCAATCTGAATTGTTCTATAGATAAATCTCCAATAATAAACCTGATTTTCATTCTTCAGGAAGAAGTCCACAGAAATGGAGCACAGTGGATGCCCTAAAGGTTAGGCTACTAAAAGAGTGAGGGCTTTATGCTGCTGAAGGTCCTAGTGTGTCTGAATCCTCTACAATGTATGCATCTGGGTTGGATACATACAGGAATAGAGTAGTCTCTTGGCTTACTCATTATCAAATGAGTAAGCCAAGAGACTACTGACTAGTGACTTATAATCAGAAATGATCTACACAGCTTGGTCCAAGACAAAAATCTTCCAATATCACAGAAAAAAAAAAATGCTTCTCTTGGATATCAAACACTCTATCTTACTGATGATGCTCTATTAGAAAAGTTTTCCTGGAGAAAAATTGAAAGCATTCCTCTAAGAACTGGAACAAGACAGGCTGTCCTCTTTCACCAATTCTATTCAGCACAGTCCTTGAAACTCTAGCCAGAGCAATTAGGCAAAAGGAAGAAATTAAAGGGAAACAAATAGGGAAAGAAGAGTTCAAACTATCCCTATCTGCTGATGACATGATTCTGTATTTAAAAGACCCCCCCCAAAATAAAAACTCCACTAGAAAATTTCCAGAACTCATAAATGAATATGGCAAAGAAGCAGGATATATAACTAACACTGATAAATCAATTGCCTTACTAATCACCAATGATGAATTAGCTGAAAGAGAAATAAGGAAAACCATCCCATACACAACAGCTCAAAAAAAAAAAAAATACTTGGAACTCAATCTAACAAAAGAAATGAGAGACCTCTACAATGAAAAGTACAGAATATTAAAGAAAGAAATTGAACAAGACCTTAGAAGATGAACAGCTCTCCCATGTTCTTTGATAAGCAGAATTAATATTGTCAAAATGGCCATATCAAAAGTGCTATACTGATGTAATGCAATCCCTATTAAAATTCCAATAATGTTCTTCATAGAAATAGAAAGAGCAGTCACAAAATTCATTTGGAAAAACTAGAGGCCCAGAATAGCCAAAGCAATCCTTACTGAGAAAATGAAGCAGGATGTACCATAATACCAGATCTTAAATTATACTATAGAGCTATAGTAACAAAAACAGCATAGTATTGCCAAAACAGACATAAAGCCCAATGGAACAGAATAGAAGACACAGAGATAAACCCACAAAAATATTATCTCATGCTAGACAAAGGCACATAAACACACATTAGAGAAAAAAAGAGCCTCTTCAACAGATAAGTGCTGGGAAAACTGGAAATCAATATGTAGCAAAATGAAACTGAACCCTTAGCTCACTCTGCACAAAACTCAACTGAATATGGATCAAGGATCTAGGCATTAGACCAGAGACCTTGTACCTACGAGAAGAAAATGTAGGCCCAACTCTCCATCATTTTGGCTTAGGAACTGAATTCTTCAACAAGACTCCTAAAGTGCAAGCAAACCAAGAATCAATAAATGGAATTGTATCAAACTAAAAAGTTTCTTCTCGCAAAGAAAACAATCAAGACCATGAAGACAGAGCCTACAGAATGGGAGAGAAGCTTTGCTACCTGCCCCTCAAATAGAGCATTAATCTGAAAGATACATAAAGAACTCCAAAAACTTAACACCAAAACAAACAACAACAACAACAAAAAAACAAAATACCAAATGATCCAATCAATAAGTGGGCAAAGAAATTAAGCAGGCACTTCACAGAAAAATAAATACAAATGATCAAAAAAAAAAAAAAAAGAAGAAGAAGAAATGTTCAACATTCTTCTCTAGCAATTAGAGAAATGCAAATTAAAACTAAACTGAGATTTCATCTCACTCCAGGCACAATGGCAATTATCAAGAAAACAAGTAACAATAAATGTAGGTGAGGATGTGGAAGGAAAGGTTCACTCATACACTGCTGGTGGGATTGCAAATTGGTGCAACCACTCTGGAAAGCAGTATGGAGATTCCTCAGAAAACTTGGAATGGAACCACCATTTGACCCAGTTATCCCACTCTTTGGCATATACTCCAAAGGACTTAAAATCAGCACACTACAGTGATGCAGCAACATCAATGCTTATAGCAGCTCAATTCACAATAGCTAAGCTATGAAACCAACCTAGGTGCCCTTCAGCAGATGAATAGATATAGAAAATGTGGTATATATACCCAAGGGAATTTTACTCAGCCATAAAGAAGAATGAAATTATGGCATTTTCTAGTGAATGGATAGAAATGGAGACTATTACACTAAGTGAAATAAGCCAATCCCCCAAAACCAAAGGCCCATTGTTCTCTCTGATATCCAGAAGGTTAATACACAATAATGTGGGGGGAGAATAGAAGTCATTGAATTAAGGAAATTAAGGGCAGGAGAGAGTATGGGAATAGGATTGACAGTAGAATGAATCCAACATAACTTTGCTATATTCATATGTGAATACAAGACCACTGTAACTCCACATCATGTATAACCACAATAACGGGATCCTAATTAGAATAAGTTAAACTCCATACATGCATAATATATCAAAATACATTCTACTGTCATATATTGCTAAAAAGAACAAATATAAAAATAAGTTTTCCTGGCCTTGAGAAAATAGCCAGCTATAACTTATACATATTGTTCTTAATTCTGATTATAAAACAAACTTACCAAAAATCCATTTGAGGAATAAAAACAAGTTATCTCTCTTCCTAATTCAAATACATACATGAGAATTACCAGATTCCTCAGATTAATTAACCTCAGATTTCTCAAGACTTTCTAGAAAATATAACTTCACCCCACCTCTTAGGATTATCCCTTCTGGAACTTTTCACCTTTTGTAACAACCTCTACAGATTTTATTTTTTATTTTTTTTAAAGAGAGAGTGAGAGAGAGAGGGGGACAGAGAGAGAGAGAGAGAATTTTAATATTTATTTATTTTTTCCTAGTTCTCGGCAGACACAACATCTCGTTTGTATGTGGTGCTAAGGATCGAACCCGGGCTGCATGCATGCTAGGCGAGCGGGCTACAGCTTGAGCCACATCACCAGCCCCAGCTTTTAAATATTAAAGTTTATTAGAGAATTTTCTGAAAGTTTCCCTTTGTTTTCTCACTGGAATGATCCATGATCATATTAGAATTCATCTTTAATAACCATTGTCTTCCTATTTCATATTTCAATTTTAAACTTTTAAACATGAAAAAATTTCTCATTTTTTCCTACATTTCTTTACTATCCATTGAATTAATAGGTCTTTTTTTATTATTATTATAAGCTTAAAAGGATGTGTTCACCACATCCAAATTTTAATTACTTCTATATTAACAAAAGTTATCCATTTGTTGGAACTAAATTTACAGTGGCAGCTTCCTATTCTATTTTCTTAAGGTATCAAAACTCTCAGAAAATGTTTTCCCACAGAGAGGATCATTTATATCCCTCATCATTACTATCTCACTGTTCTTACAGTTTCCTAATCTTATGAAGAAAGCATCACCCTTGTCCTCAAATGAACCAGATTAAATCACTTATTCACTGTCATAGAATATTCTTTGTTTTCAGTGTATATCCAAGTGCTTCCCACCATACTGTTGCCAACTTCATGTAAGTGAATGTAAGCCTACTAAAAATAGTTTTTCCTCTTCTATTAATGCATGATCCTTACTAATAATGGATTCTTTTGAAAAAAGCCTGCTTTTAAAATCCCACATTCCAGACTAAAGGCCTCAATGCAAAAAATATACATGATTTCTGCCAGCTTCATTTTCTTTTTGCTTTTTTTCCTTTTGGTACTGGGGATTGAATCCAGCAGTACTTTAACACTGAGTTATATCCTTTTTATTTTTTTTTATTTTGAGACAGAGTCTTGTTACATTGCTGAGGATTTCACTAAGTTGTGAGGTTGGCCTTTAACTTGTGATCCTCCTGCCTCATCCCCACCTCCAGCTGGCTGGGACTGTAGGTGTCCACTACTGTTCCCAGCATTCTGCCAGCTTTCTTGGTATATGTGCTCATGTAAGAAAATTTCGGTTTTATTCTGTAGCACATACTTGGCATTTTTATATGTATCTCTAAGAATGTAAGTCTTATTTCTAATCATAATCTCAAGAATGTTGAGTCTTCACTGAGGTTCTTTCTAATGCATATTAACTATATTCTATAATACCTGATATCAATAGCGCTTCTTTTATTTTGCAAAATATTGCCCTTGGTGAGCTGAATATGCTTCTTTGACTCCAGCAACCAATATGATGATAATTTCCAAATCTTTATCCCTAGTCTCAAACTTGGCCTAAATTCCAGACCCTGTGTCTACCTTCATAACCTATAGATACCTCAAATTCAACAGGTTCAACAAAAAAATCCTTTCTAACTCCTCTTTCCCCCACCAAAAATATCAAGTGTTCCTGCTTCTATACTTTGGTTACCACTGGCATTATCACTGATTCAGCAGACAAAGCTAGAAACTTTGAAGTCCTCCACAGATAAGGACTTGGATATTTTACACATTAAAGGTAAGAGAAAGAGAAATAAGAATGTATTACTTTATAGACATTAAGGAAAAAAAATACTAATCAGACTTTATATATGCTTTTGAATGGCATGCTTATTTATATAGCAGTGAAAATTATGGTGTCAGCATATAATTAAAAATATGCTCTCAAATGACACAAACTCACCCACTACTGATTATATTACTTTCCCCAAAATAAAACTGAAAATTAAAAAAATGAGGACAAATACTGATGACACTTAACGTACCTGTACAATAGGAGCTCCAATTCCTCCATTGAGCCAAACCCAGTGAAGAGTAGGGATTACTCCATATCCCGAAACAGAACAAAAGATGATAGAACGGAGCCTCTGCCATTGCTGTGTGAGGTAACTGGGATGAATCTGAGCAAAGAACACTGCCAGGATCATGGCAAGCACTGTGATCAAGTATACTTGACGCCAGTACTGAAATGAAACAAAATCAAATTTTAATTCTGCTATTAACAACAGTGAAGCAAAGAGTAATTTTGGCTTATATTTAACTTTTTTTTTTTTTTAGTTATTTAACATATATTTATTTTTTTGTTGTTGTTGTTTTTTTTTGTTTTGTTTTTTTATCGGTTGTTCAAAACATTTATCTTTCTTAAAAAAATGCATATACCAAACAACTATTAAGTTTCATAGGATGATAAGTCAAATTCTCAAGTGAGCTAATGAGACTGCATTTATTCCTACAAAAGCATTTCCTGAGTACCTATTACGATGCTAGGCATGGTTAGAAATCCTATAGAAATGTAGCAGACTATGATACAGACTCTCCCAGTGGATGAGCACATAGACTCTGGGAGGGGCAAATGTAAACAAATGATCATAATTCAATGATAAATATTATAACTGAGTTTCAAACAAAGTTGTAGAACCACTGGAGAGAGAGCAATGTTACCTGGGATAAAAATGCTTCACAATGGAGGCAACATCTAAACTAATATTATGTGGGAAGGAGCAGCTCTCAAAGAAAAGGAGCAGCAAGTGCAGCAGGGAAATTTGGAGGAGGCTGAAAGGCAGCAAAGTCAGACTACAGATTTTGGGCTTTACCATGTCATTCAGGAATAGCAGAATTCTTTAAGAATGGGATGACAGGGTCATTTTTTCAAATGACATGAGTGTAGAAAACAAAGAAATGATAGGGAGCTTTCTAAACAGACATTAGAGGTTTATTCAAAAAGAAATGAATTCTGTTGAAGAATGAAGATGCGAGCACCAGGCTGAGGAAGCATTTCTGAAATACACTTAAGGTCTTAATGGCTAACTGGATATGTGAGAGAGCAGCCATGAAAGGTTCCACCCTTTCTATCCTGAAAGGCCAACAGTGGCTTCCATTGATAAAGGAAATGAACAAAGATGTTCCAGGTTTGGGCATATATGATGAGGAACATGAAAATAGGTTCACTTTAAAATACATTAAGTTTGAAAGGTTTATGGGATATTTAAGTATTTAAGTGAACATTGAAAGCTGGAAGTGAAACTCAAAAAGCTAGCATCATATAGGATGTGAGTTCTTAACTTGGTTCCAGGGATCTCTGTAGGGTTATACACCTCCTGATTCACAATTTGGGATTGTTTCTTTAGATGTGTACCCAAATACACCTCCTGGATTGATGGTCCATAATTTTCTGTCTCATTCTGAAAGCAGCCTGTGTTCCTTAAAAGGTAAAGAGCCACTAAAGCAACTGAGTATTTGGAAACAATAAGAAACCAGAAAGAAGCAATTTTTCCTTTATATGATCATGGACTGTGTTAGCTCTAGTAGCTCTCTTTTTTAGCTTTTCTTTTTTTCTTTTTCTTTTTTTAAAGAGAGTGAGAGAGAGAGAATTTTTTTTAATATTTATTTTTTAGTTCTCGGCGGACACAACATCTTTGTTTGTATGTGGTGCTGAGGATCGCGGGCCGCACGCATGCCAGGTGAGCGCGCTACCGCTTGAGCCACATCCCCAGCCCTTTTTCTAGCTTTTCTGATGTGTCCCACTTTAATGTTTAGGAAGTCAATAGAAAACAGTTTCAGAGAAATATAGAATGAGATAAGCAAACTATTAAAATGATGCATTTTAGTTATCAGCATGCTTCCTCTCTTTTAAGATATGCAGTTTCATGCAAAATGATTAAGTTCTAAAAACTGGGCAGATATGAACAGAGTTTACTACTAAAATCAATTTGCAAGGTTAATTGAATATATATTTAATTATATGCCTATCTCCCAAAGTCATTAGGCCTAAAAAACAAAAAGCTCACATTTAAAGATTTTTTATTTTATTTTATTTTATTTGGTGCTGGGGATCAAACCCAGGGAGATTTGTGCATTGAGCTACATTCCTAGCCTGTGGCTCATGTTTAAATGTGTTTAAATGGATGCAATTATTAATGCTCTTTTATCCAAACCTAATATATGACTTTTCCCTTTACTAGTTTTATATACTAAATATGTTGATAGTTTGCTCTGCCATCATACAGATTTAAGAATCCCAAAGAGTAAGAGGAATTCTGTCCTGCAGCCAATCTTTCTCAATAAGCCACAGCTTAGAGCACCATGCGTGGAGGGTGCCTTGGGAACGCCAGTCTCTATTCCTTGTGAAAAGGACTAAAACTACCCTGTAAACATTGCTCTTGAGGGAGAAGTGTAATCTTCTGCTGAAAAGCAGGTAACAAAAAGGACAAAAGAAAAAAAAATCAAAGAATATGATAGGAACAAGAGAGAAAAAGAGTAGAGTCAGTGGGGACTTTCTGAATGGGAGAGTTTGAGATGTGGTGAGCTCACGGCTCAGTTTGCCTTTGGGCAGGTGATGGGTTAGAGGTTATATTCTTTTAGGGTTTGGCTTGGCAACATTTTTAGGATAGGTGCTATACTATCTGAACAGTTTTGCAAATATTGCTTTGCATAAGACAAAACTGAGTTTTAGGACCTTAGGGACAGAAAGCAGAGTTGATCCAAAACTTGGAACAGACATATCTTATAGTTGTTAAAGACCCTCACAACACATGGGGTCTGTTTTTAGGTCTACTATGCAATAGAGGACTGAGAAAGGAAAACATATTTCTTATAGAAGAACATGCATCAAGACATGCACAGATATATCTTTTCTTTTTTTCAGTGAATGAGAAAGTATGAAGGGAAATGGAAAGTGGAAACCAACTTCATTATTTTATCAAAAGCTAACTTTATTTAACTTCAATTCTATAAACACAAAAATTAAAGATATGCAATATGCATATATAAGTAACCATATACCCATATGAATATAATTAATAATTCAATGTCTACAGTAAGCTTCAGAGATAACTTCAAATATATATTTTTCCAGTGGAAAAGGACTGAAATAAGTGTGGAACTAGTAATAGATGTTAGAGACCACAAGTGCCTTTTGAAAAATAAGTTTATGCCTACACAAGACTCTTCTGTTTATTCTGTAAGTAGTTACTTATTCAGAAATTCAAAGGAACCACTGCAAGAAAACCTGAGACCTACATGAAAAGTAGAATGTGAAATGTTTTAAGCTACTTACATTATTACAATAAAATGCATAAAATACTCCTGAGACATAGCAGCCCAGTATTCCAATAGAAATTCCTGCATAATCTAATGCCATCCATCTTCGACAGGTTTTTTCTGACCGATGACAAGAAAAAAGATGATATCCCACAGAGCAAAGCATACAGACCTATGGAAAATAAAAAGAAATCTTAACAAAATGAAACAAAAATAAACTAAAGTAATTCATGCAAGATATTCAGGGAATTGGTTAAGGATACAGGCTTTCAGCTTTATCAACTTAGCAAGGCCCTAAGCAATTTAGTGAAACCCTGTCTCAAAATAAAAAATAAAAGGAGCTGGATATGTAGCTCTGTAGCTCAGTGGTAACACACCCCTGGGTTCAATCCCTTGTACCCTCACCCCCTCCCCAAACTGCAGGCTTTTAAGACAGTGTAGGCTTTCAAGTCAAATACATCTTGCCTTGGATTCTAGCTCTGTGCTTACAGTAGGGCAAGACATGTCTTTTCTCTAAACCCCAATTCCCTCATGTGTAAAATGGGGATAAGAATCACAAAAAAGGAAATTTAAAATGATAGCTATTTTATATAAAAATTATGAACAACTTTTTATATAACAATTATAAACAGAAGTAGGGAAATTACACAATACAAATGTTTTTAAAAATATCACATGAGGGTATTTTGATCTATGAATAAGTTTACAGAATGATTTTAAAGAAGCAATACGTGCCCTTAAGAAAATCAAAGAATATAGAACTGTATAATGTAAAAAATATAAGCCCTTCCCACTCAATTTATTCCCCAAAGGTAGCCACTGATAACATTTGTTATATATCCTTCCACTTATTTTCAATATATATGCCCAAAAACTGTGAATAGAAGTCTGCAGCCTGGGGATGTAGCTCAGTTTTAAAGCACTTGCCTAGCATGCTCAAGGTCCTTAGGTCAATACCCAACAACTACCCTCCCATCCCCCAAAAGGGAAAAAAGCCTGCAAATACAAGATAAATATACACTTTTAAAAATTAAATCAAATGGACTCACACTATATGTTCTGTTCTGCAACTTGCTTTTTTTTTTTTTTTTACTTAAAACCTCATGGGCATAAAAGATGCACTGTATAAAGTTTACTTTTAAATTCTAAGGTAAACATGGCTTTATTGTCCCCAAATATAATAAATCATGGCTTGATGATTATAAAGATAAAACCTCTATTCTTGAAAAGATTTTTTAGAAACAAGTAAAGAAGTAGTGCTATAAGAAGTTATATAGGAAAAGTCAGCAAACCATAATTAGAAAATTGAGGAGGGTGTTTGTGAGTGTATCTGTGCATTGTGGGGTGGTACAAGAGGGAAGAAAGGTGAATTACAGAAGAACTATCACCCCTGTAGAAGCTAGAGTTCAGCTGATACTCATCAGGAACATACAAGACATGCACAGGTTTATTGGGAGTCCACAAAGAAAAATAACATAATGAAAAATACAGAACCATTAAAGAATGTCCTGTCTTTATTCATTCATGATTATGACAAGTCCTACACATCAAGGAGTTTCAACTTCAAAATTATGGAACAGGTGATACTTTAGAAGATTTTATATGTCCCCTCTTACATGGTGTAGATTAGAGAGGCAAAGGGGAGAGGTTACCTCAGAGAGCAATAACAAAAGAGCCTATACTAAGTCAATGGAGGTGTGTATGCAGAAAATGGGACAATAAACATTATACTTAGTCACAATTTCATTTCTTCATCTACTGTCTAAAATCCTTACTGGTCTATGGTTTTTTGGCTACTAAGTTACCAAGCAGAGTTTACTATCCCAATTAAACATAACTTTAAAGGTTGATATTCTAAGATTAGGCTGTGGTGTGTATTCTCATTGATAGGGAAAAATCTCATTGTCATAGTGTAGAATGATACAAGAATTGAATACAAATCAGGAAGCAGAGATAATCTAGGCATGGAATTAGGCAGACATGTAGATGAGCAAGCAGTAGGTAGCTGTCAAGTAGAAATGCATACACAAATGTACGGATGAATTTTAACCAAAATGTCAAGTGTCACTTTCTTCCACAGGCTTTTTTGTTTGCTTGAATTTCTATGTAAATATATACATATAGGAAAAATAAGAAACAATAATAAAGCTCATTCAATTGTCGCAAAGAAAGTAAAAGAGGAAAACTATGCATCAAACGGGGAGGGAAGTAACGTTAATAGATATCATAAGTTTTTAAAAAGTTAGCCGATGTTTAATGTGCCCTATTTTAAAAGGAATATGTTATTGTTAAGAGTTCCTTTAAAAAATGAAAAAAAAATTGGCAAAGTAGGTATGTTTCAGTTATCACAAAAAGTTTCTATGGGATACCAAAGGCATACAATTATAGTGTTCAATAATACTATTGAAGATTTTAAGTGCCCCCTTACAAGATGAGGACTAGATAGGCTGAGGTGGGAAATTACAGAAATAACCCTGGGAACAAGAGCCTATACTAGGCCACTGACAGTGGGGGCAGTACATCTAAGCTCATTGGCTTGACAACAAAGTACCTCATGATCTGGCTTCTTCCTGAACATCTTTCCTACCCTTACCTTTTTTGGTTCTTCCAGGATTCAAACATAAAGACTAACATCTGCAAGCCCAGGAAGTGCTAAACTGTCTCTTGCTTTTGGGCTTTTACATAGTATTTATTCTGCTTAATGCCCTGCCTTACTTTCTTTCTGCACTCCTTCTACATGAGTGCCATGGTCTTATAATATGTTGGTTCTCTGCTCAGCATTGCATCACCACTACCTAGTATAAGGCCTAGAAGTATAAAGGAGGCATTCAACAAATATTAGTTGAACTGAATATAAATGAACTGAATTTGGGGAAAGGCATTCTCAGATTCCACTCTTCTCCAAAATAAAAAGTATCTGTGGAAAGCTTCCAAATCCTGAATTACATTCTACTACTCAAAATGTACTCTACAAATCTGGTTGGGAAGAAAGCACTGCGCAAAAAGAGTGAATAGAGGTGAGAAAAAAAAAGTCATGTCTTTTAAAAATTAAATGTTAAGTCAATATTCATGAACAGATTTATGGTTTACTGTGCTGCCTGATGATCCGACGAATCCGAAAAACTCGGGTGAACAAGTTAATTAAAATTTTATAATTTTAAAAAAAGTGCTCTTCTTGTAGGGCAGATGTGTTCATTTTTCTTAAGCAGGTTGTACACCATGTAATAGATATATGCAGTAGCAGTTAGAACACGATTTTACTGATTTCCATCTGAATAATCCTAGGCAAGTTAACTATGATACTTTGAGTCTATCTTTTCTTGGGCAGTTGTTACAATTATTTAACCCTTTTAATTTTACAATATATTGTTTTCTCGGGCCAAAATGGAAATTAATATGTATTCTCTTAACTAATATCAGGTGTGGAAGGTGGTGAAGGGATAAAGGACAGGCCTGGAGTAGAGGGAAACACAAGGGATTCTCAAAGTAGATGATATTTATACAACTAACTGTAGATTACAAACCATTTTATACTTATTTATAATCATTAAGAGCATCTTAATTATGTTAACTTAAATTTTAAAATGTTAGCTATAAAGAATTTGACTCATTTCCATTATGAAACTCGAAATAGATCCCCAGAGGTATTTTGAATCTAATCAGGACAAAAACTAAACCTCAGAAAGAGTATAATTTAAAAAATATTTTTTTAAATTGATTTTTAATCATATAAAAATAATGAGTACTTTTTTCCTCAAAGAAATTTGTTCTAGAAACTGCAATTAGAAAAAAAGGGGGAGTATTTCTGATGATGAAGTTTGGAATATAATGACATGCTATAAAAAATTCGGAAAGTTGACTTACAGATTCACCTCTCAAATAGCAGCAACAGGTTAACTGTATAAAGTCCTGTCTGCTTTTGTCAGGATGAAAGGGGATGATTTTTTTTTTAAATTTTCATGTTTTTTGGTATTCTCTGTATTTTTTAAAAATTTAAAATGCCAATAGGACTATAACCCATATTTGTTTCCTGCTTTAAAATGATCTGTTTGAAAAAATCTACTGAATGTAATTTTTAAAGGCATTTTTATAAATCCTTGAAAACAAATGCAAGTGCAATGGAATTAATATGAGAGGCAGAGAGGAACAGAAACTGAAAGTGTCTGAAACCAGGCAAGTATAAAAGGATCAAAGGATATTAAAATTAAAGCAACAGAACATAAGACCAATACCAGAAAAACAAGACAGTAAAATAAAAGCAGAATGAAAAGTAAAGTTATGAAAAATCACAGGTATAATACAAATACGAAAAAGTTAAGAAATTTTCCCAAACAGGTTTTGAGTTGACATTAGTGATCCACTCAATCTGACAGTAAGAGTAAAATAAGACATTCATAATCTTATAGCAGAGATGTCTACAAAGATAAAGAGGAGAGAAACAATTTTTTTTCAATCTTTGAAACAGTGAATTTCAAATATACTCCCATAACATACAAATACATGATAATTAACAGGCTTTTTTGGTGTTCATTTTATGAAAGAAAATAAGCTGACCCATTTGCCATTTTGGGAGCTCTTCAAAGCAAGTGGTGAGCCACATGCATAAGCCTGCCTGATGAAAGTTCTCTTCACAAGTAACAGTGTGAAGTGACTTACCTGGAAGCAGAAAAGACAAATAGAACAAATTACAAAATCTTCTCTGGATGCACTTGCCGAAGGTAACACAGACGTCATATCATATATTCCCAGGGTGAAGAAGAGAAAGAAACCCAGCAAATGACTCCAGATGTTTACCGTCTCATTAGATAAAATAAACAAACTGGAAAGTAAACAAACATGCAGCTCAGATTCATACTGGCTCACTTAACTGTCAGCACTCAAAGGTCAGGGAAAATTTGGGGGAGTTACCTAATAATTGCAACTTTAAGGCCTTAACCCCATCTGTACCATTTAAAATTTGATATGTCATTTAATTAGTCTTTAAGTTTTTCCAAATTTCCACCAATCCTAGCATCTTAACAGTTTTTGTTTGTTTGATTTTGGTGCTTAACTCTATTATCATAGTTACAATTTCCTTCCATTACAGTGATTCACATGTAAATTCCTCAGCCTATCAGCTCCCTGACGGCCTGTACCATACATCTCTCCATTCATCTACAAGACACCATTTTTTCTAAGCAGAGTGCCTTGCTCCCATCATTCACTAATGTCTATAGATATGAGTTTGCAGATAAAACATTTTCAAATAACACAAATAGTATGCATATTTTGAGTAAACTCCTATTGTTAGTTTAGGAGTTTATTCAAAATTTAGCTAGAACACTGACTTTCAATAATCAGTATCTGAAAACCAAAGACTGAATGTTCTTTGATATGCGGATGCTAACTCACAATAAGGGAGGGTGGAGAGAAGAAGTTCAGCAGATTAGACAAAAGGAGAATGAATAAATGGAAGGGAGGGAGATGGAATAGGAAAGACAGTAGAATGAATCAGATAACTTTCCTATGTTCATATATGAATACATGACCAGTGTAACTACACACCATGCACCACCACAAAAATGAGAAGTTATACTCCATCTATGTTTGATGTGTCAAAATACTTTCTATTGTCATATATAACTAAATAAAATAAAAAATTTTAAAAAGAACAGTATCTGAAAAGCTGATACCTTTTTAAGGGCTGGGGATGTAGCTCAGTTGGTAGAGTGCTTGCCTCATATGCACAAAGCCCTGGGTTTAATCCCTAGCACCAAAAAAAAAAAAAAAAAACACACACACACACACAAAAAAAACCTGCAACAAAACAAAAACAACAACAAAACCTTTCTAAATACTCATTAAATACAAATACAAAGTTAAATAGATCTAGAGAAGCAGAATAAATACAAACTGAGCCATCGGAAAGGTTCCTGAAGAAGTTGCTGGAACAACTCTGCAATAGATGTTTTGAAACCAGACTAGTTTCCAGATAACATGTATTTATCCTTTTCAGAGGAACAATAGGAGTTTACTCAAAATATGCATACTATTTGTGTTCTTTGAAAATGTCTTGATAACTGTCTGGTTTTAGGTACATGATGGTGGAAAAGGTACCCTTCCTACAGAAGTCAAAAGGCTCATTGTTTCCTTCCCATCCCAGCCACAAATTAGCTCTGCAATCATGAACAAGTCACTTTAAAATTTCTGGGCTTCAGTTTCTTCATCTATGAAACCAAGGAACTGGATTACAGGCTGCTGCAACTTCCTTCTAGTTCCTTCCTTAGTTTCGTGAAATGGATCTTCAGATATAGACAAGACTCATCTGATTTACAGGGAGGTGATATAATGACTAAAGATTAAAATATTCTTTGCATTGCTCTAGCAAAATATTATCTTTCTGCTTAAGTGAGGTCTTGATGGTCACTGGTCCAGAAATTCTTATTAGTAAGCATTAATGTATCACTCTTACTGAATTTGCAACAGTTACCATGGCTCTTCTTAACTTTTCCATTGTTATAAGTGATAAGCACTGCAAGGTCTCAAACTATCAAATGATCATCAAGAATAAAGTAAAAATTTATTCTTAGACTTTATCTAGAACAGCATCTACTTTAAAGACTACTTGGGGAGGGAATGAAGGAATGATTTAGAAAACATCTAATTTACAGTACTGTTTTGATAATCAATACTACACTCTGCTTTTTTCTTAAGAATTTTTTTGTTTTGTAAAACCCAGTATACCTCGATTAACTAGACACGGTTTTTCCATGTTCCTCCCAACTAAAAGAATATTAGCAGAACTGTTAGGATATATAAAACCTCTTCTTATATCCAAAATATGTCCTGGTCACTCTTGAAAGCTGAAAGAAAAGAGGGCAAAGGATAAACCTGGAAAAGATCAAGCTGGTGGGAAGAACATTTAGAAGAATATCCCCAATAGAGGATCTACTATTATTACATGAAAAATTAAGCACCCCCATACTCTACTTCAAAATCAATAATCATCTTCATTACTTTATCTGTTCAAAATCACAGATGACAATATCACCATCTACTGAGTGCTTCCTAGGTACCAGACCCTGTGTAGCATTTTACATATATAATCACATCTAATTTCTATTACCCCCTAAATCAGATATTTTTATTACCCTCATTTTACAAGTAGAGAAAATAAGGCAAAGTGATTTTACCTTTTGCACAAAGTCCCACAGCTATTAATTGGCAGTTTGAGAAACTCAGGTTTTTCTGACTCAACAGCACAAGATCTAATGTTTTATACTTCATTTCCCCTCTATGAGATTTGGGTTCTAAACATCAAAATACTGAGGACAAATGCCAGATGGGTTTAAAACGTTTTAAGACAGTTCACTGCCTGTCCTATCTTCATAGAACTCCACATCCTAAGCAGGGTTCAGCTCTAATTTCTCATGTAATCACTCATGCACAAGAGGCACTGAGAAGTGAAATAATAATTAGGATTCACAATATGAAGTCCTGTTAGCCATCCATTCAAGCTACAGGGCTGGACAATGATGTCACCTTGTGACTGTGAGTCACAAAAAACACTTTCAAGGCAGGACAAAAGGAAATAAGGATGGAGAATGACCATGCTGGAAAGATCAAGAATCAAACTGTGGTAGCTGCTTGAGCTGTTCAAGAGCCCACATTCCAGCACTGGGGTTTGCCACTACAATGATCTGGAGCTCATCTGTAACTACAGTTGGGATTCTATATTTTAGTACACACAGAGAATTTTGACAGAAAGGTATTCTAAAAACTAGAACAGCAATTTTTCAGATTCTTTTCAGGCTTTCAAGGGAACCTGATTTTAAAGGTTTGAAATGACAAATTGCTTTCTTAGAAATGCTTCTAAGGTCCTCTACTGGAGCCACATTAGAGCTCTCTTTGCTACAGTGCTTTTCCTATACAGCATTTTCCACAATGGCTATTATGTAATAGTGTAATTATCTCTTTAATGTACGTAACCCAGACTAGACCTTAGTAGCCTGGTGAGAACAAGAGCTACATCTCCTGTTTTCTGAAGGATCTGCTACAATGTCTAGTTTCTAGCAGGGGTTCCATAAGTGTTTGCTTAATGAGCGAATTAGGGCTTTCTAAATATATATGTATGGCAATGTGAACTTGTTTCCTATTATACAAGTATTTTAGCTGGCCTCAAACCATCTGAATTTCCACAGGGCTGCTCTAAAGTGAAACAAAGCTTAGGTATACATAGGGCAAATAACGGCTCAGCCATTGTCAGTGTGGTCGATTCCAACATGTATCCCAATGAGCACCAAATGAAATCAAGGATGTAAAAGCACTCTGTAAACAGCGAAGCGCCACAGAGAGTTGGCAATTATGATCACTGTTACTATCATTATTACTCCTTGTATAAAATATCCCGACAGGGTTGGAGGGGAGAGAAGGAGGCAGAAAAGAGATGACAGAATGGGGTGGCGAAGAAATGCTGGGCACGAAGCAAAGCCGGGAAAGCAGCGAAGAGACTAAACAAAAAAGGATGTAGATGAGAGGAGGGGGTCACACTGTACCTTTTGATACACAGCCTGGAGGGCAGGTAGGCCCGGTAGCCGTCGGTGATATACGGGTTGTCTTTGAGCGACACCGGGATCTGCTCGAAGGTGTAGAGGCGAATACCGCGGGGCACCAGGACCGGCCAGTACTGGTAGCTGCCCAGCTCGATGTAATGTGCGCTCTTCAGCAGCTTCTGATGCATGGTTCCCGGCCGCCGCCGCTCGCGCC